AAGGCAAAATATTTTTTCAGAAACATTTGTCATCAGCTGCACCTCACAATAAAGACTAACTGAATATTTGTAAAATAATGCAAACTCAATCCTTGTGTGTAAACATGCCACAGATCAATGCAATGGTTCTAAAATTGTTTCACTAAAATATATTTGCAATCTATGTTTAACTGGTGTCTTGTCTTTATTTGTTATTAGCACTAAATAAGTGACTAGAGCGGAACCCCGTTTCACCAGAACCCAGATATCAGGAAACCTCGCCTACCAGACGATATTTATGTGAAACAAAATATACACTACATAAGATGCTTCATTTATTCTGAAATCTTCCAATGACTTTCAATTACCAACAGTGTGCAAAATACACACAGGGGTGTCCCAAAAACCGGATAGTGAATAATGTGTTTGTTTTGTAATTCATCACCCGGCAACCAACATCAAAAGAGTGAGTATTGTATAATTTAATCCTGTTATTACACAATATGGTTTGAAAAAGTGTTCATTTTATATCTGGACTGTTTGTAATCTATTTTAATAAAAATTTCATTGAATGTTGTTCACATTGACTTCAGGGAACAGATGGGCAGATTGCACAAAGTCACGGTTATTTACAGCAACCACATGCACAATCCAAAGTTTTACTACAAATTTCACACTTTCATTGGTTAACATTAAGTTTGTTATCACTTTTTTGTTTACCTGAATTCGCTAAAGGGATACAATGTCTTTTTTCTTACTGCAAAAATATAAAAATCCTAGGCATATCTTTGCCTCCATAGAATTTGGGTAGGGGAGTTAACTCTGGTCAGTTGACAAGGGATTCAGCTATGTATATGGAAATGTTTTTTATCTGGAAGATATTTGAGAAAACGCAAGTTCCCGGATAAACAAATTTTGACTGTAGTGAAGTTCAAGGTGAAAACATAACACAGGAAATAATGCAAACAATGCCCATAATGACAGGGCAAGTCAGGGCAAGAGAACAGTTTTTGTAACTGGCCCACATGTATTGTTGGGTGTGTACGGTCGTGAGACTGTATCAAGCCTTGTAAACAGTCATTTGTACTGATCTAATTCATGCCAATGTGCTCTCATAATATTGTGACTGTGGGTTTAAAATGATTTTGAGTGGTAGGTCTCTTTCAAAGGATATTTTGATTGTCCTCGCTGCCCAAGGCGACGTGGCTTGACATTTGGAAAAACGCATTTCATGACCTTCCCAAAATCAGCTGGACAAAGGGGCTTCAGATTATGACTTTCACAGTACAGCCTGCAAAAGATAAGAAAAACATGAATCCCTGAAGTGTCAGTTCAAGATGGTGATCTTTGACATAATTTAAAGGATATTCTTTTGACTTAAACATTAAGACCAGAATTTTTGGTCTTTTCTTTTCAACCTGCGCAGGAAAAATCCTGGAAAACTTAACCAATGACAAAGACGTGACAAAGAAATCTCCTCAGGTAACATGGTAATGTGAGTTTCCTGATATTCATGAGATATCAGAATCTCTTATCTGTACAGATTGAACATATTTTCTCATCAAATGAAATTGGCTTGTGACCAAATAAACACATAAATTATATACGAGGAGGTGATGTGTGTTGTTCTTGTCATTGCAGCAGCTTTGAATAGGTTTTGATCTCGACACAGACCAGAACACTGTCTTTCCTTGTGTATAATGTACTATTGGTACCTGCCTTATTCACTGCTCTTTAGTCAATGTTACAGTATTTTGTGTATATATTGTTTATTGTCTAAATTCCTCCAAACATACATATGTATATATTTTAGATGCATTACACTTTTTGTATGTATAAACATAAACATATGTGTGTGTGTGTGTGTGTGTGTGTGTGTGTGTGTGTGTGTGTGTGTGTGTGTGTAGTAATAATTAAATAAGTGGAGTAAGATTGAACACAGTTTTAATAGGCTAGCGCTTTCAACTTGTACCACGTACGAGTCTCATCAGGCCATAACTGAATAACGGACTGAATAAGTGAGAGGTGTAGCCTAAACAGTGGATTTGTGGTCATCAGAGTGGAATGCCTATTGTTAAGAAACTTGACAATAATGTCCGTTATTCAGTTATGGCCTGATGAGACTCGTATGTGGTACGAGTTGAAAGCGCTAGCCTATTAAAACTGTGTTCAATCTTACTCCACTTATTTAATTATTACTATATTGTGCCTGAGAGTTAGAACTTTACTGTGCTTTTTATTTTTATATATCTATATCTATATATCTATATCTATATCTATATATATATATATCTGTATATATTGTTTTTTTGGTCAAAGTTACAGTATTTGTTTATATATATTGCTTACTGTACTTTCTCTCTTGTTTTATCACAAATTACCAAACCAGTATCTCGACTAACATCTACTTTTTGTGTTGCATGTATTAATTATTGGTATGGTCTGTAGGTTTGCATCAGCCAATCAGGCGCTGCACATTCAACAATCAAATCTGTAATTTATTTAGCTTGATTGGTCGAAAATATCTCAACATTGTGTCAAATAGCAAGGCACATCACGAGAATACTTAACATAGTAACAGTGACAAGCGAGATAAGCTAGTGACCTTGTATTAATACAGAATAAAGGCCAAAACATGAATGTAAGTGTTGTTTTCATTTTGTTGACTATAAATATTTAGTTATTCTACAATAGTCTATTCATGTTTTGTCTTTAAAAGTTTGTCACTTTAAGTGAAATTGACAACTCTGGCACTGTTCATGAAAGTTTGTGATTTACCTTCTTCTGTGAAATATGTCGTATCCTCATGAGAAAGTAGTTTACTGTGATCGCCGTGAACTAGCCACCATACACAGGACAGTTTAGTAAATTGCTTCGGCAAAACCGAAGTCAAAAACCGTAAATAAATGGAAAAAACCTGGTACGAATAACACAAATAACAAACCAGTTTCAAAGAAAGCAAACATTTCCAAAGTGATTGACTCACTAAATATAGTTGGTTACAACTTGACAGTTCACTTTGTATGACTTGTAATGTGTTACTGAAACCACAACCAATGCACTTACTGTTGCCTGCCTTAACAATAGGCATTCCACTTTGATGACCACAAATCCACTGTTTAGGCTACACCTCTCTTCACTTCACTTTCTTTTATTATACTTATAATTTGTTGATGTTTTGAAGTTGCAATAAGTATTGATTTTCGCAACAATTGTACATGTTCAGTTGTTTATTTTATATCATAATGCTATAAACTGGAACCATCAAATCTTTTTGTTTGGATCCCTAATTCCATGATGAAGGGTCCATTGTTTTTAGTGACCCAAAGAAAATTTAAGCCAGAGCAGACACTGTATATTGCTACATATTGCTTATATTATTTGCTATGATGTCTTTAGTTGTCATATACAGTGTTAAATGTTTCTGCTAACTAAATATGACACCGTATACAGCAACTAAAGGCACCATAACAAATTTATTATGCCGAAAAGTTGACATGGTTTACACTATCTGGTATCCATATCCCACGTCATGTCAAAACTTGACACTTACAACCGATGACGTTAAGGTTCAAAGGCAGACTACTCAAACCTTAGAGGCCAAACCTTGTTGACAATTTTAACTATATAATCTTTCTCAATAAAGTCACGAACATGATTTAAAAAAGATTAATGTCCTTGCATATCACAATTTCGAATAACAAATTTCTGTACCAAAATTTTAATGTGAAACATGTGAAGTGGGTGTTGGAAAATCCAAGATGGCCGTTACTGTTGGTATACAGTCTCATGTAAGTCAGCAACAACCATCTTGGATTTTTACTGACAGTATACAGGCTCATGTGGGGTCAGTATTTCTGCTCTCTGACTGGTCAACTCACTTTGAAGCATCATAAATATATACATATGTATATTATTCTACATATTGTACATATATATTGCTGTATAGATCACTGTATGATTCATTCACCTGATAAAGAAGTAAGCATATACACTGAAATGTTGTGTTCCTCATAATAAAGAAGTTCACATCCATATATTCTCTTCCTCATGTGTATCACTTCTATATGCCTTTCAAAGACCCTACTGTATATAATGTTTTTTGGTGAATTTTTCAGTATTTCCTGTTGTTTTTGTTAAGATTATGTGTAGTTGTCTCGAAGGTGGAAATACCACCAAGCACATTTTCTGCCATGATCTACAGGTGACTCAGAAAAGAAACACTCAACATAATAACTCAAACCGATCAAATCTAATTGCAGTGATCGGAAGAAAAGATGTCTGAAACTATCAATGACGTATCATCTATGACAAGTTCTGACATCTTGTACAGACTGCATAATAATAACTCAAAATCAGGAATAGTCTATAAAATGTCAATTCTGTATACAGCAATGAATACCTTGTACCTAACAATATTCCCATCACTGGAAAAAGTTGTTTAAAAAACTATCATGTTGTATTGTGTACAAGTTGACATCTTGAATGGAGGGGGCACAATGGTAGGAGGAACAGTGCAAACACGCATATGCTACACAATGGTACAGGGGATGACAGCATAACAGAGGTAGTCTCATGATAATTTTAATCACAATCTGACCCGCTCATGTCACAGCCCACGTCATCAGAAGCGCTTGTGTCACTGCTGATGGTCACAACTATAGGTGGGACTGTTGCATGCTGCCCTTCCTCACGTGACCAGTATCTTGACTCTATCTCGTTGACGACTTTCCTAACACAACGCTGCCATGACTCCACTGTTACCCGACCAAGAAATTTATTTACTAGCTTTTTAACATCCAGCAATCTAAACATTGTGTTCAATCGTCTAACGTCACCTTTGACGATACCCCATGTATTAGGTTCAGATCGCAGTGGTGGGGGGGGGGAAGTCATAAGACGGTGTGACCTTGACCTTTGATGAAATTGTCAACCATATACACAGGGTCAGGTTTGTTAATATTTGATGATTTCATAAGAGTTGTGGTTTTGTAGCCCTAAAAGGAAAGGTCATATTCATCTGTTGCATGTCACAATATCCCCGTTAAGGCTAATAGACGGCGGGGCATTGCTGTCTGGATCCTGCATACTGTGATATGATTCATTGTACAAGATAACAAGGGACTTGGCACACAAAGCAGGTGCCGATTTCTCTTTCACCCACTCCAGATACCTTGCCGTTCATTTCTGTGTGCTACTGAAAGTCTCTGTTGTCCTTAGCCTTGGCTCAAAAGACGAGGTCACAAGCTGTGAGTGAGTGAGTGAGTTAGATTTAACGCCGCTTTTAACAGTTTTCCAGTTATATCAAGGCACGTCAGCTTTATGTGGGAGGAAAGCCCGAAGTGATGCAGGTCCTAGACGTTTTCCATTTCGGTGAATACCCACGAGCTGGGGTATGGTGCTGACAAACCTAGAAACATAATCGGGGCGAACCGGGATTTGAACCCACAATCATAGGTTTCTGATGTGTCCAAGGGACGCAACACTGCACAGGGAATCGTGGCGCCTTAGACGACTGGGCCACCCCTGCCCCCCTCACAGCAATAAGTCTTTCACCCTTTTCCATTGGTAACTTTCTTCCAGACTCCTTTCAGACCCCAATGGGTACCCACTGACATCTGGCTGTGTGAGAGGCACTTACCCATGTCTCATCTAGGAAAACAGGATCATATCCTTCTTCACATTTCTGCTTGATGGTTTGATTGATAATGATTTCGGAGATGAAGGATGCCAAATTGTTCATATAACACACTGTCTAATTTATCAACCGTACATGGCTTTGATATGTTCCCCCAACTGCTTTGCCTGATTGCTGGAGCCCTGTCGACGGATAACGTTTTTTAGCTTGTTAGGAGACATACCAAGAGCATTAGAAGCTTGTTTCAAGTATTTATTAATGGCATAAAATGGTTTTCTCTTTCTGCTTCACTGAAAGAAATCTTACACCTTAAAAATCAACTGTTTCACATCAGCTGAGTAGCGCATCTTATCAGCCAACAACAACATATAAAATTTAGCATGTGCAGTTCATGTTTGCGCTGTTCCTCCTACCATTGTGCCCCTTCCATTCAAGATGTCAACTTAAACAACTTTTTCCAGTGATGGGAATAAAAATAACAAACAACAGATATTGTTGACTACAGGGTATTTATTGCTGTGTACCATATTGACATTTAATAGACTATTCCCGATTTTGAGTTATTTTTCAAGTCAACGTTCTCATTTGGAGCCAAACAGACTGTAAATTAAGTTGTGAGAGAAGGTATGACATAAGGGACTGAAAGCTGGGACTTTGGAATCAGGAAGAAGTGGAATCGGAATCAGGAGCATAAAACAAGACAGAATTTCCGCATATTACCAGTTATTTTTATGTTTAGTAACAGTCTTGAATTGTAAGCTTCATTACAATAGTGAACAAACAGGAATACATTTATATAATCAAGTTTAAAGGCAATATCAAAACAGAGACACAATGCCATAACAATAGCTTCACCAGTTGAGCTTACATGAAACATATTCTGGCTAGTTCCTCCTATAAAGGTTTTGTATGAAAGTTTAGTGGTAGCTGAACACTGACCTGTAATCATCATAGACCTCATGCTTAGGCACACAGATCTCACTGTCCTCTTCCAAGTGACTGCGGATCCATGTGAATGCCTGGGCCTGCTCTATGCGGTTTGAAGAGTGCAGGAAGGAGGTTGGAGTTCTGAATTGAAAGTAATTTCTTTCACTCAATCATCAACTTCAAATCAAACAATCAATCTAAAGACATCTGTTCTTAATTATACCCATTAAGATTCCAACATTTAGGCACAAACAGGTATCAGCCAACAACGACACCAGCTCAATGAGTGCCATTTCCTCTCCTGCAACATATGCGACTTCCACTGAAGTTGTCATGTAACCAGCTTATATATTACACTCATCATCATGTATGTTGCTCAGAATACAACAAGAGTTTGCCACTAACGTGGCTATATCCCCCACCCCTGTTGCAGAATTTATGACATAATTAAATCTAAACAAACCCTAACCGAGGTGGAACTTGTCATGGAAGTTGTAAAAAAAGAGATGAGTTTGGAACCTAAGTCCATCTTGTTGCCATGGAAACGTAAAAAATAAATATTTCTAAAATTCTAAATATCAAAAGGCACCAGTTCAGCATGTACCTGACAGACCTGCAAAGTTTGATGAAAAAATATTGAACGGTTTATGAGTTATGCTCCGGAAACGAACCCTACCCTCACAGAAGCTAAGTCCATCTTGTTGCCATGGAAATGTAAAAAATACAAGTTTCTAAAATTTCTCAATAGCAAAAGGCACCAGTTCAGCATGTACCTGACAGACCTGCAAAGTTTGATGAAAAAATATTGAATGGTTTATGAGTTATGCTCCGGAAACGAAACGTGACGGACGGACGGACAGACAGACGTACGGCCGGACGTACGGAAGGACGGACGGAGCCCGTTTCTATAAGATTCACCTGGGCTTTTGTAATTATACACTACCCTTTAATGCCAGTGAAACAGACAAAACAGAAGACAAACTTCAATGGAATCACTGTCACATCAAACACCTGGCGGAACCTTTTACAATTAAGGGACACAACTCTGAACAGAAAATTTCAGTCTTTAGATAACTGGACTGCATGTGCCCCCTTACATGTCTTACAAAGGGGGACTACACTCAATCATCATTTCATTTCAACCAAAAATGGCTGAATGATGGCAATAAGTTTCAGCTTTCATTATGGTTGAAGTTGAAAGGTCAAAATGCAAAATACCGGTCCAAGCTAAAATGTACCGGTCCCAAGTAAAGATCTAAGAGTATGTACAATCACTGATTTGGTCAAAACTGATCATGAGAAGTAGAAACGTTTGAGAGAGAAACAGAAAGAAAATGCATGGCATGTATTAAGACATCAAACAATAGTTATCACTCTGTATAATTCTAAGAATACTACCCCTATTCCATCACAGCCATAATTTCTGTAATTTGGCTGTCATCACACTATTAAATCTTCAGATTTTTCAACAGACACCCTTTTCACTGTCAGCTATTTACCATAGTCACAGGGGACCCCTCACCTCACTCACAATGGGTACAGTTTCCTGCACAAAAGTGGGGCGGCTTAAAATACCCAGCATCCTAGATGCAGATGAATGGGGGAGGTGGGTGGGACTGCTCCTGATTAAGTAGAGGTAATGTTCTTAGAATTATGCACAATGTAACTATTGTTTAATAATTCCTTCAAATACCTTATCTCTACTACATCATGTGCAGAATTTAACAGAGGGAAAAGGCAGGATCTGGCATGTAACACTCCCAAATAGCTGACACTAGTGACAGCCTTGATTATAAACATTAACAGTAACAAATAATAGATGCAAATACTTGTCATTTTCCATGAAAACCCGTAACACTGGCATTTCTGTGACCTCACTTCCCATATTTTAACATCATATTTGGTTCTGATGAAGGATAAGAATTAATGGAAGAACAACTTCTTTATTACAATAAAGAGCGACGTTTCAATGTAGGTTCTTACACTGTTATCAAGTAACGACAGTCCAGACTGTAAACTGTCCTTACAACTTTGAGTAAGCAGTGGTCTGACGTCACATGCTTCCAAATGTTGGAGTAAGACAGCAGACACCCTCCCACTGGTCCTCGTTTTCACGTTAGTTTGAAATCCATATATCTGTTATCAAGATCCATAAACAAAGCTGACAGGAAAGGGTTTAACAAAGGGAGGTTGTAAGTACTGGTAGTGTTTTACGGCAAGTCCCACTACCTCTGGAGATGGACTTGCTTCTACCTCTATGACGATGATGTCGTCATTTGTGTCGTCACAGGAGTCTTTCTTGTCCGTCAAGGCAGGGGCACAGAAAGAATCTCATCCTGCAGTGACATATCTTCTTTTAGGAGGATCCTGATGATCTCTGGGAGTAGCGGCAGGTCACCTGTAAGTCTTCGCCCGCCACCAGGTTAATAGTGGAAACCTGGAATCTCTCTTTAGTATCCTGATTGACTTCATCAATGACTGTTCCCAGTTCCTAGGTGTTAAGGGTACAGAGACTATTTGAACCTGTAGATGGTGGCTTTAAGGGAAAGCAAGTTGGGACGACATACATACTTGAGAAACTCATAATTCCTTGAGGATGCCATGTAAAGCACTCTGAATGAAACCCACTTGACCTTCTTGATCCGCTGGCATTTCTGTATCATACTCATGAATCACAAGTAACCTATGCCAAAACTCAATTAACACAGCAATCCAATTAAGGTAGGCTCCAATGTTCATCATATGCATGTTGACGCCTTCCATATCCTCAAGTTTGTTCATGCGAAAACTCATCTTGAAGAGGAAAACTTCATTAAATAATAGTAGACTTCAATGCAGGGAAGCTGAGCAAAGCAGCTTAGCTTGTTGTTCTAACTTACTAGAGGAGGATGGCCATGGCAGGGTGTGGAACTGCTGGGGGTGCAGGATCTGCGAATTCCGGTTCCATCAAATGAGGGGCAGGTTCATTAGTGACTAAGGGCTTAGTCCAAGGCATAGGAGAGTGCAATTCCTCAATAATCTGCTTGAATGAGTAGTCCTCCACAGTACAAGCATAACATCATTCCAATCCGAAATCCAAAGTGTCCCTGTGAGATGTACAAGAGAGAACTGAGTCACGTGGGGTAACCTAGCCAGATGTTGTTGGAGGATGATAATCACATGTAATAGTTCCTGAAAGCTGTTTCTTCTCAGAAATTCCTACCACACGAGTTGTAACAGTATGCACAAGGTTGTAAAGTCCGAAGGCCCTGGGTAGTTCACTCTCACTACCATTATGTAGCATATCACAAGATCTGTGTGCCCTGTCCTCAGACGAACGTGTAGACGAATGTTAGGTAAATCCCTCTTGACTTTGAAAGAATTACGTGCATGTGAAACCATCAATCGCAGGAAGGTTGAGAATCTAGGGCGAGTTAAGTGATGCCACACTTGGAGCAGACGGACGGGTATCCATCCCACAACACAAACAAAAAATCTACTTACATGAAAATTGTTATACAATCAGATAAGAAAATAAAAAGAGGGTGTTTTACTTATGAAAAGCCCTGACATAATAGGCGATCTTTTTCAATTCATCTTCCCTTCACTACCCCGCTAGGTGTGCTGACCCAGACAGTCCAACCTTAAACTGATGGCGCATGCGCAATACGAGCGGACATGTGATGTCACTCTCACACCTATAGACAGTTAATCAGTATAGCCTTCACCTCTATTGGCAACGCTGGTGTATTGACAGTATATCTTTTCATCTAAACAACGATCTATCTATTGTCATGTCTGGAAATAGATGTTCCTTGATTCAAAGATACATCAGGGATGACCATGACTGTGTATATTGTATCGTTAACCACTTGGCAGCCGTTCTAAGTGAGACTGTGAGATCAGCTGATCGTTTATTCCAGATGGCTTTGTTGATGTTTTGCAATCGGTACTGAAAGCGATGCCCTTGATGTTTGGATTTCACACTCTTAAAAATCAACAGATTTTCACTGTATTCGTACCAATATCTATGTTGTAAAATCCCCGAGCAGGCTTCATAATTTGCATGCATTTCAGTACAGCGGTAAGGCGATGCGGTACGGGAAATGTGAAGGTCTTATGTAACGTGAAGTTGCCAGTAGCCCGAATGTTGTGAATTTTGACAGCAACACATGTAAGTACTTATCAGTTATATAACTGAAGGAAGTGAGAAATGTTTTCAAGAAATAGTAAAAGAAACAGGCACTGGTAAATTACGTCATCAAAAAATATTATGTTACCAAAACAAGAAGATACAACTATGATTTACATCTACATATGTATTTATGTATCATACACATCTTGTGGGGTAGTCAGTATGATTTACATCTACACATGTATTTATGTATCATACACATCCGGTGGGGTAGTAAGTATGATTTACATCTACACATGTATTTATGTATCATACACATCTTGTGGGGTAGTCAGTATGATTTACATCTACACATGTATTTATGTATCATACACATCTTGTGGGGTAGTAAGTATGATTTACATCTACACATGTATTTATGTATCATACACATCCGGTGGGGTAGTAAGAATGATTTACATCTACACATGTATTTATGTATCATACACATCCGGTGGGGTAGTAAGAATGATTTACATCTACACATGTATTTATGTATCATACACATCTTGTGGGGTAGTCAGTATGATTTACATCTACACATGTATTTATGTATCATACACATCTTGTGGGGTAGTAAGTATGATTTACATCTACACATGTATTTATGTATCATACACATCCGGTGGGGTAGTAAGAATGATTTACATCTACACATGTATTTATGTATCATACACATCCGGTGGGGTAGTAAGAATGATTTACATCTACACATGTATTTATGTATCATACACATCTGGTGGGGTAGTAAGTATGATTTACATCTACACATGTATTTATGTATCATACACATCCGGTGGGGTAGTAAGAATGATTTACATCTACACATGTATTTATGTATCATACACATCCGGTGGGGTAGTAAGAATGATTTACATCTACACATGTATTTATGTATCATACACATCTTGTGGGGTAGTCAGTATGATTTACATCTACACATGTATTTATGTATCATACACATCTTGTGGGGTAGTCAGTATGATTTACATCTACACATGTATTTATGTATCATACACATCTTGTGGGGTAGTCAGTATGATTTACATCTACACATGTATTTATGTATCATACACATCCGGTGGGGTAGTAAGTATGATTTACATCTACACATGTATTTATGTATCATACACATCCGGTGGGGTAGTAAGAATGATTTACATCTACACATGTATTTATGTATCATACACATCCGGTGGGGTAGTAAGAATGATTTACATCTACACATGTATTTATGTATCATACACATCTTGTGGGGTAGTCAGTATGATTTACATCTACACATGTATTTATGTATCATACACATCCGGTGGGGTAGTAAGAATGATTTACATCTACACATGTATTTATGTATCATACACATCCGGTGGGGTAGTAAGAATGATTTACATCTACACATGTATTTATGTATCATACACATCTGGTGGGGTAGTAAGTATGATTTACATCTACACATGTATTTATGTATCATACACATCCGGTGGGGTAGTAAGAATGATTTACATCTACACATGTATTTATGTATCATACACATCCGGTGGGGTAGTAAGAATGATTTACATCTACACATGTATTTATGTATCATACACATCTTGTGGGGTAGTCAGTATGATTTACATCTACACATGTATTTATGTATCATACACATCTTGTGGGGTAGTCAGTATGATTTACATCTACACATGTATTTATGTATCATACACATCTTGTGGGGTAGTCAGTATGATTTACATCTACACATGTATTTATGTATCATACACATCCGGTGGGGTAGTAAGTATGATTTACATCTACACATGTATTTATGTATCATACACATCCGGTGGGGTAGTAAGAATGATTTACATCTACACATGTATTTATGTATCATACACATCCGGTGGGGTAGTAAGAATGATTTACATCTACACATGTATTTATGTATCATACACATCTTGTGGGGTAGTCAGTATGATTTACATCTACACATGTATTTATGTATCATACACATCCGGTGGGGTAGTAAGAATGATTTACATCTACACATGTATTTATGTATCATACACATCCGGTGGGGTAGTAAGAATGATTTACATCTACACATGTATTTATGTATCATACACATCCGGTGGGGTAGTAAGTATGATTTACATCTACACATGTATTTATGTATCATACACATCCGGTGGGGTAGTAAGAAATGATTTACATCTACACATGTATTTATGTATCATACACATCTTGTGGGGTAGTCAGTATGATTTACATCTACACATGTATTTATGTATCATACACATCTGGTGGGGTAGTAAGTATGATTTACATCTACACATGTATTTATGTATCATACACATCTTGTGGGGTAGTAAGAATGATTTACATCTACACATGTATTTATGTATCATACACATCTTGTGGGGTAGTCAGTATGATTTACATCTACACATGTATTTATGTATCATACACATCTTGTGGGGTAGTAAGTATGATTTACATCTACACATGTATTTATGTATCATACACATCCGGTGGGGTAGTAAGTATGATTTACATCTACACATGTATTTATGTATCATACACATCCGGTGGGGTAGTAAGAATGATTTACATCTACACATGTATTTATGTATGATACACATCCGGTGGGGTAGTAAGTATGATTTACATCTACACATGTATTTATGTATCATACACATCCTGTGGGGTAGTAAGTATGATTTACATCTACACATGTATTTATGTATCATACACATCCGGTGGGGTAGTAAGTATGATTTACATCTACACATGTATTTATGTATCATACACATCGGTGGGGTAGTAAGAATGATTTACATCTACACATGTATTTATGTATCATACACATCCTGTGGGGTAGTAAGTATGATTTACATCTACACATGTATTTATGTATCATACACATCCGGTGGGGTAGTAAGAATGATTTACATCTACACATGTATTTATGTATCATACACATCTTGTGGGGTAGTAAGTATGATTTACATCTACACATGTATTTATGTATCATACACATCCGGTGGGGTAGTAAGTATGATTTACATCTACACATGTATTTATGTATCATACACATCCGGTGGGGTAGTAAGTATGATTTACATCTACACATGTATTTATGTATCATACACATCCGGTGGGGTAGTAAGAATGATTTACATCTACACATGTATTTATGTATCATACACATCCTGGTGGGGTAGTAAGTATGATTTACATCTACACATGTATTTATGTATCATACACATCCGGTGGGGTAGTAAGTATGATTTACATCTACACATGTATTTATGTATCATACACATCCGGTGGGGTAGTAAGAATGATTTACATCTACACATGTATTTATGTATCATACACATCCGGTGGGGGTAGTAAGTATGATTTACATCTACACATGTATTTATGTTATCATACACATCTGGTGGGGTAGTAAGTATGATTTTACATCTACACATGTATTTTATGTATCATACACATCCGGTGGGGGTAGTAAGTATGATTTACATATACACATGTATTTATGTATCATACACATCTTGTGGGGTAGTAAGAATGATTTACATCTACCAC